TGAAAGCAAAAAAAAAGAAAAACAAAAAATCATAGCATCCACTCTATTAAGAATGTGAACATGAACAACATGAACAAACATAAAGTTCATGTCGTAAGATACGTGTAGCACCATTTGGGGATCGCTCTAAAGTTATGGGTCATGAAGTAATATTTCTTATTCGAGGTAAAACTATTTCAATATTCATATTGAATATAATACCTTTTTTGTTCCCTTATAATTGATTTTCTTTTATTTGTTAATATCCGGGATACCATATACATGCTTTTATAAAATAAATTCACATGAAGCTTTTTAGGCACCATTTGAATGAAGTGTTGTTGCAATTAGGATTTAGGGACTTATATCGGTGGTTGGTACAAGACAACAATGGGAAGGTACAAACATGGGAAAGTACACAATTGCTTTTCATGACCACACTCTCTGAAGATAGATTTTCAAAATTTTCTACAATGTCACGAGCTTTATTGAGTTGGCTAAAGAAACTTTTTCGACTTCATGCTATTGTTTATTTTATTCGCACTTTATTCAATCTTTTATGTTGTACTATTTGCAGACATTATTGGACGAGTTGTCGATATAATTATTATTTTATGTTTTTCTAACTTTAAGTGATGTAGGATTTTATTTGAGATTAGTATTCGGATTGTGGACGTTTATTCAATTTACAAATTTTCATTAGTAATTGTAATTATTAATCTATATATATATATATATATATATATATATATCCATATATAGAGACTAATTTAATAGATTAATTTAATTATGGTCATATGTTTTGGATCGTTCAAACTTATTGTAGAAAATAAAACAAAAAATTTCTACAAAGATTCTACTACTTACATATACTTATATTTTTAATTCAATGTATATAAATTTATAATTTACAAATTATATTTTTTTATATTTTAATTAATAATTAACTAATCTTATAAATTTTTAAAATAATCCAATTCACAACGAATCGCCGCCGTTGAAATACTATTCTAATAGAAAGTTATTCGGTGAATCGAACTCATAAAAAGAAGAATGCTAAGAATGAAGACAAAGAAAAATCTGCTCAAGGAGAGAATGATATTGAAGAAGATGAAGAGAAGATTGATAATATTAATTTGTGATGATGAAAACAACCTAAGACATAGAACATATATAAAAAAAAAAGTTCAATAATGTTTAATCATTAATTGCAACTGTTCTTTTAACGATNGCAACTGTACTAGTTAGATATGATGACACGCGCACATACACACAAAGTATATAAAATACACAAAGTAATAAAAGAAGAAAAGAAAGTAAGTCAACGAATACACTAGCTATCTCATTTCAACTATTGATGATCATGCTCATTATTCTATATTGAGCATGTTAGCTTTTCCTTTTTTATAGTACAATTAAGTCTTTCTAGTACAAATAACTACGTTTTGACATGACAATATATTGAATTTCCAATTGTATGGATGATATAAAAATTATGTATATTTATATATATACATGTATTATATTAATTGTCTCACATCCGATGATAGAAAAATATGCATAGTTGTCAAAACCGGATTGGACCGGCCCGTCCGACCGGTTGAACGGGAACCGGCCAGTTCACCGGTCCAGTTCAACGGAAAAAACCGGTTGTGGCCAAAACCGGTCGAACCGGCCAAAAACCGGTTGGTTTCCCTTTTACCTGCGTGTGGAAGGAATTTCTTTTCTAATATTCTATTTTTATTTCCTATTATTTTATTGCCCAATGTGGGAGTGTAAGGAAAAATAAGTCAACTATATTTAATATTTATAAAGTATTATATATTTAAAATATCAATAAATTAAATAATTTAAAAATTAAGTTAACTATATCTATGAAATATTATATATATTTATATTTAAAAATATCAATAAATTAAATAACGGTCCAATCGGTTCAACCACTGGTCGGACCAGTGAACCATTGAACCAGTAGCTTGACCGGTTCGATGACCAGTCCGGTTTTGACAACCTTGAAAATATGTCCTCACTTGGGCAATACAGATTCCAAACACAATAAGACGCCATTGCTATCTAAGGTTAGACAATAACTAGTGAAGAAAAAAATGGTGGGTGATTTGAAATCGTGTTTTGGCCGCACTAATCATTGATGCAGAATACATGGAACTCGGAAAATTCCGAACCATTCCGAAAATTGAACCGAAATCACTTCGAACCGAAAAATAACCGTTGACCGTTTGACTTTCTCCGAAGCGAATTGAACCGAAAAAATAATTGATACGGTTATGGAGATTTCATAAATGTCCGTACCGAAAACTGAACCGAACCATCCCGTACCGTACAGAACCGAATAACTGAAATTAAGAACCGAATTATAAAAATAGATGTGTAGTATTAATACATTTTCTGTCAACTTTGATCCTATATAATTTGAAAAATTTTATAATGGAAATAAAACATAGTTATAACAATTAAATTTCACTTAAATTTCATGTTTAGTAATACTTGAGATCTACAATTGAATTTTCCTGGTTTAAGAAAAATATATTTAAAATGGTATGAAAGGTTAATTAAATATAATTTTAAAATTATTTAAACATTACTTAAATTTGTCGATACTAGTCTTATTCTATCTTATAACTAACATAGTATGAAAGGTAAAAAAAAATATTACTTTAATAAAAAATATATTATATTTTGTTTGAATTTTGAATTTTCAATGTAAGTTGCACAAATTTAGTCTTAACTAAAATTTTGAGTTATTTCTCCAGTTGATTTAAAAATAAAATCTTTAGTATGATAAAGTATTGATGAATGTTGGATTTAAAAAAAATATAAAAATTAAAATACAATTAGATGGCCATTCAAAAAAAATTAAAAAATAATTAGAAATCTCCGAATATCCAAATCGAACCGAACCGTTCCGATAGTCTCGAGAACTGAACCGAACCGAACTGAAAAATGAGAATACCCAAACCGAACCGATTTTTTGGTATGGTTATAGAGATTGAATTTTAGTAATATCCGAACTTCAGTACGGCTCCGGAGATTTGTGAATTTCCGAAACGTACCAACCCATGCTCATTCCTAATATCACACTGCCAAACATTTTTATAAATTGCCTGCAACTGTTTGGACCTTATATTTCAAAGTGAAAAACAATACTTAATTAGTAAATACAAAAATACAAAAGCTGAACGACGTGAGTATTTTCCAAGCTAGAAAAACACGAGTATTTACCTCAAGAGCTTGACAAAGGCACCTGAACAACGGCAAGAATATGCACAAACTTATTGTGAATTTTCACCAATTTGGAAAGACATACGTATCATGAAACACATCACAGTTTATATACACGAAAAAACAAATTTAGAGTCGCAGAAATTTTACCTCAAATTGGTACCCAATATTGAAGAGAAAGGGGTGCAAGAACTCTTGCATCTCTCACCACGTGAATTCGCATGAGCTATACAAAGAACCCATTGATATAATATCCAACAAGAAAATGAAAAACAAATAGAGGAAGCTTGAGCTACCACAATTGAGCAGATATTGAAACATCATTCATTGCCTGTTTGCTTAATCAGTGTCGAAGCTCATGGCATATCTACTAACATCTGAAAACAACCACATAAATCCCTGAATGCTATTTACCAGCTACATGCCCGACAGAAACTTGGACAATATTCATATATCTGCCGAGCAACCATGTCCGAATGCAGCATATATCATCAAAATGTATTAGTTGTACATCATAAATGGTCAGCCAAGAGTAGAGTTGACAACACTACAATGTCAATGGAGTTAACATGTGAAATGAGGGGGATTTTCCAGGCAAAAGTGCTTTCATCTTTAAAACCAGTGGAACCATCTCCTCTGTTGTGCTGAACTTTCCTTCTTTGGGGCTAAGGTTATCCTGTCTGCATGGGCCACAGCCCATTTGCTGAAATCTGGTGATGAAACAAGCCCTTCTAGGGCTTTGCGTGTGGACTCCCTCGTGAACGATTTCCATTCAGCCTTTGCAAATTTCCTTCGGTCGGGCGTGTCATGGAAGGTGGAGTAGAAAGTCTGAGAATCTGAAAACCTTTCAGGTGACTTACTTCTTGAACCTGATAAAGGATGGTGTACTACTTCAATAAAATGTAAATTGGAGCTATTTACGTTCAGGAAATTTTTAAAATATTGAAGGAAAGTCAACCTGGAACGGAAGTATATGGAGACCTGGCAGGGGGCCTGGGAATAGAAGGGTTGGTGACTGGCGATGCATATGGATCAAGAGGCTCCCTGAGATTAAGCCTTTTCAGCCTACGCAATTTTCTGCATGTTTTATTTTTTTATTTTTTTTTTTCCAACAAAATTGGTAAGAGCGAAACAGGAAATGGAAAAGAGAGTTCCAAATTTGACATTGTTGGAGGGAAAATGAAGAAAAGGCACTCTCCAAAGTGGACAAAGGGAGCACACAATACAGCGTACCATATAAATACAAGGAATTATATTGTGCAGAGATAGAAGGGAGATTTGCATACAGGGTCCCGTGTATTAGTTTTTTTTCCAATCTGAGGCCCGATTCTTTTTTAAATATCAATTGAAGCTCAAGTTTATAATTATATTTTTATGCCGCATCAAATTTTGCTGTTAATTCTCTGTAGAAATAAATCATGTTTTAGATTCTCAACTCGAGGCTTATAGTGTGCTCCGAATCGATGATAAGGATTCCTAGTTGACAAACAAAATCAAAGTCTGCACACTGAATTTTTCATTTTATAATGTTATTTTAATTTTATTTTCCCTTTTTTTGGAGCCTGAATGACAAAATCAACAGATCAATAGGTATTAAACAATAAAAATGGGGGCCACTGCTGAATTTTTTGATGAAGAGAAGCATCATAGACTCACCTGCAGACACGCCGAACAACCTTTGGGCGAGGAGACATCAACAACAAAGATATAACAATTCCACCAACCCATGCACCAACTGCCAATAAAGGATCTAAGGAACTCTGGATAACAATGTAATCTTTCATTACTTCCCAGAAAAACAAGAACATCCAAGCCATTCAGGTAAGGTGCCATTATTTTATAATTACGAAGACGCAAAACCTGAAGAATCATCACGGAGGCAACCATTCGAAGTGACCAGGTGACAAATTGAGATACTCCAAAGTCAATAGATCCATCTTCTGTGAGCACAAGTTTACGAACGACCCAAAATCCCAAGCAAGCGCCAGTAATTACAAGGAAAACCAGCAGAAGTATTGCCAGCTACATCACATACAAGCATGTGTTAGCAATGTTGTGAAATCCGACATGCAGAAAAGTCGACACACGTATGGAAGCAAAATTGAATTATTGACACTCAACTTCTAAGTTGGAATTGCAGGAGAGGCAAATAGTTACTTCCAGTTTGCAATTAACTTTTGCATAGTAGATATAAAGTTGGGCATAATGAAAATTTCAAGCAATAAATCTGATTGTGTAATTCTAAACACTACATGTAGGAGTTTCTTATTTTGTCTCGGAACGTGAAACCAAGTTAACTATCAACTCATAGGTTTCATCGAATAATACTCAACAAGAGTTGAATCTTGTAAAAAAATTTACAACGTACATATAATATATAACTACAAAGTGAGCCTGCAATGAGATTTAGCAGCAACTTTGCACAATATATATGACTATATGTTCCGATGCCACCTCTCAACGGCAAAAAAGAAATGAGATACTTGTGTCACTTCATCTAACATTTTATGCATTGATGAGATTCCTGACAAAACATAGAGAAATAGCTTTGAGAAACTTACTTACAGAATCGTGCATGTCTTCGGGAATTCCAATCTCGGCCATCAGAGCCCGTAATAATTTTGGCACATATTGAAGCAGAAAAGATCCCAAGCCAATCTGATAAGAAATGGACCAATACATATTACCATGGAAAACCATTAATACACAGGGATAAAGATAGGGCTTATTTATAATTATACGTACAAAGCATGAGTACAAAAATATTCCAAGTGAACTCTTCCGACCAGTTGGAAGAAGCTTCATCCCCTGTGAAACAACCATGAAAGGAAAATTAGTGGCTATTACAAGAAAATGTAAATGTCTGACGAGAGCATGCAATGCACTGTAGTGCAGATTGCAAAAATAATCATTTTGTATTCATGCATCTACAATTCTACATAACAGAATCCCTGGGCTCATGGAAATCATGAAATGAACCAATAAGTATGCTGTCACTAAA